AAGTACCCAGGTTTTCATACAGCAATCAATATTAAGTTAATCTAAGCCATAACTTACAAGATGAAATCACAGAAATCACATCAATAACTGTCTGCTGGTCTTGGTCTTGTACATCATGCCTCTCAGTCTGACTCACATAATATATTGTCCAAAGTTTTACCAGTATGGCAGAAGACTAGTAAAGACATATCTTTTCCTATCAACAAAAGTTTTCATATCTAATATATCTCCTTATATCTTTAATATTATATTACCATTATTTTTGTTATTATTATATATTTATTTCTTTTTGAGAACAATTTATTCAAGCTACAAACCCCAACATAATCTGCTAAATTAGTACATGACTAAGTTAAACTGTTACAAACAGACTGTAAATGTGCCCCTTATTAAGTTCAACCAGCACAATGTATATTTTTTTACATTCACATTTACATTCTTTGTACTAGTACTGGAGTCTTGGGCCCAACTCCACATATGCCCAATATCAAACTTCCGATGTTTCTGGCCTATTCTACCATATTTAACAGCAATAACACTTTGCTGTTCAAACCATCAAAATGAAGACTTATGCTTGAAATATAAGACTTTCTGAGACCTTCATGAAAACTAAACTTTCAAGCATTAATGGCATAAGCTTATAAATGCTATGCTACAAAGGTACTTACAGAAAGTAATTTTATAGAATTTTGAATACTGGCAACCTCCATGTCTGTATGCTACTTTGGTGAAATAAATTTGTAGTAAGGTTTGATTTTTAATTAATTTGTTTAGAAAAATGATGCACCCTTCCCCCTTCTTACCATAAAATTTCAAAAATTCAATAATTCAAAAAATTAATTTAGTAACATAACCAAGGTGGTATACTTAAAAACGTACCAAACTCAAAACTTAATTAAATCAATGCAATGTGAATGTGTTTCTTACCCCAGTGTCTAAGATATATGAGTCATGGGAATATTTAAGTCTCATTACTAAGCATGATATAAACAAACCTTTTTACAATTGTACTATGCACTATGCACCCTTAGTAAATTTGTATCAATCCACATAAGTTCTACCAGTTTAAAACAAATGGATACAAGCACTCTAGATTCAATACCCAGTTGTACTCATAATCAAATAACACCTAGCAGCGAGACTATTTACTTAGTTAACATTACAAAATATAAAGACTAATATAATAGCTATTGATTTCAACTTAAGCATACCAGTCATCAATAGACTTGCATAATGAGACATGAAGTGAGTCAAATATTCAGGTGTATTAGTGTTAATATTTGTCTAGTTAAGAACCCAGATGGTTGAATATGCCCATTGTGATTACACTGGTATGATATCTCGACTATTGTATCATTTGTGAATTTGCAATGTTTTTAAGGTCAGAGAAAGGTGATATATGGGAGCCGTAAAAATAAAAGTTGAAATTTAATAGTTTTGATTAAAAACAAATATAAAAAGTTTGAAATGAATTTATAACAGATGGTGAATGTTAAAAAAATAATGCCTGGACAATATGTACTATATGGGGTACATCAGGAATAATGGCTTGAAAAATGCACAGCTTCAACTTTACACTTGTGAATTCTGCATGGATATGAAGTACCCCTTTTGATCTAACGGTCTATCCAGTCTCTCTCTCTCTCTCTCTCTCTCTCTCTCTCTCTCTCTCTCTCTCACCTGTTCCAGTCACTGTAATTTTTATATCAGCCTCTTCAAGGTAAACCAAGATCTTCTGGATAACATTGATTGGAGAGTGGTCACCTGAATTCTGAGTGAAAAAATACAAAACATATATTCAGTTTTTTATCTTTATTCTTCGAGGCAAATATGAAAAAAAGGAGAAAAACAAAAAAGATGACATTGAAACAAAAATTACGAAGACCAGTTTTTTAACTTTTATTTGAGGTTATACAGTCCTGATATAGCAAATCTCACACTAGTATTAAAAATTTTAGCCAAATGTGAGACAAATTCCAACTTGGCTTGGAAAAATGAAAGAGATCATTCTCTTTAACAAAATATATCATTGACTTCTTTCACACCTCTTATTTGCAAAAATATTGCAGCCATTTGGTTACAAGAAGTTCTTTGTTAAACAGTCAAGCTAAGCATTCTTTATCACCACTAAACCCTCATAAAATCACATCAGTAGAAATTTACCTCAAAATCATGAGAGGGAGAACTGTAAGGAAGGACTCCCCCTCCCCTCACCCCCCCCCCAACTTTTGACCATTTTATATAAAACCAACAACTTTCAAAAACCTTTTTTGCAATTAGAGTGGAAAATCACCAAAAGGAGTAAGAATCTCATTCCTGTTGAAAGACTATCATAAATATTGCAGTTCTAGCTGTTATGACCTCCCCTTCCTTTATCAATAAAGTTCCACCCAATCAATCACGTTCACAGCTGCCATAAAGTTCAATGGAGCACTTTGAGCAAACTTCCAATCAGATAATGTGTTATAAAACAGTAACACTGGTTTATCCCACAGCCAGTACTCCCTTATCAAAACCTTTCTAAAGCACTAAACACACAAAGTTACTCATGTTCACAGTATAGTGAATGATGAATGATATGAGGATGGAAAGATAGATATATGTATACAGTGGCCAGTTTAACAAGAGAATGTACTAAGCCCTAAAGTTAGTCTATTTCAATTGAGGATAAATGTGTACATAGTAGTATACTAAAATAAAGCATTTTTTGTTCTGAAATATTAACCACATATTTCTTTTTATGTAGCAGGCACAACTTTTCATGTATTAAGTGAACAACTGTTAACATATCAAAATATAATCTTAAAATTTGGTTTTGAATGAAGGACCGACATTTGGTTCTAAGTAGTTTCTTTTGTGAAACAAGCCACGAGTAATAATTTACTTTTAGTTTCAACTCACCTTGATAGTGCTCTGTAACTTGGCATTTGGATGCAAGCAGTCAATAAGCTTGCTGAGAAGAACACCATTCTGAAGTTCTGTCAGGTTTTCTATAAGAAGGCCTTCTTCATTCAAGATAGAGTTAGCCCAAGCCAAGTACAACTGAAGATGAAAATGATTAAAAATATCAAGGTTTCTTTCAAAAGCATCATTGTTTTCACTCTGACTTGGCTAAAAGTTTTAGCCATTTATCAATTCCTACATGTAACTTCTTCATTTTTTTTTCATTAAAAAGTATTTGTTTGTCAGAACATGTGACCCATTTTATCTTCTCCAAATGCAATATCTTAATTTAGCATGTAAACTGTACATACTAGTAAAGGAGTGTGAGCCCATTATGATAACAATGACTTTATCTACAATAAATGCTTCATTAAAATATTCATAATAAACAAGGCTCAACTACCTGCAGATTTTGCTGAGAGGATTAATTATGAGACTGAAGAAACCTAAGGAATTGTACATTCCATCATCATGGTAGTATGGTACAGCATATGCTTCTATTTACATTACTTAAATGGACATATTAAATTATTAAATCAAAGCAGTTGGATTGAAAGAAGAATGCCACCATCATTCAGATGAATGTGCCAGACTTAAAGACATCCTGCATGGGTTAGAAAATGTCCAAAAATTTGAAAGTCATATTCTTATCCTGTAAAGCCTCTTATCTTTGGCTTATAAAACCTTAAAAATGAAACCTCTCAAATTAAAATCCATCAGAAGCATACCTAATGTTATATTTAATGGGGTAGCGCAAGCAATTTTTTTCGCTTAGCCAAATCACCACATTTTTGTCAATTTGTTATCAAAATGGTTATAATTTGGCTAAAACATGTCAAATCAAGCCCTTTTTCTTTAGCCAATTTAAGTCAGTTTTAGCATTTGGCTAAATTGGCGAGTGTTGGCGCCACCCCAGATTTCCATCTGAGCTTTAGAACTATCCTAGTACGTTAAAGCCATGGCATCTTTCAACTTCATATGAGAATAAAATTGTTTGTACCTTATATGATAAAGTTCACAATACAAAACACTGCACCATTCTCTCATGTTATGAAGTGAAAATGTTTTTCCAATTCTGTGATATCAGGAAGGTGGATGTCATTCTAAATAATTGGACAGTCAATAAGAGCGACATTATGCAAGTAAAGATGTAAAAATGGTACAAAACATCATATTCTTGTGCTTGGATAGTTCAAACAGTGACTCGTCAGTATCACTTAAAATCTTTTTGACAGAATATCTTCAGATAGGAAACCTTCAAATAATAAGCAACATATCTGCAAACACATCCTATGAGTACATCTGATTTACAAGGAACTTTCTGAATACTTGCTTTCTTATACTTTTTTAAATTTAATATTTCATTTTATTTATTATTATTACTATTATTTATTTAATTATTTTTATTTATTTATTTATTTTTGTTATGCTTTATTTATTGTGAAAAAAATTGTGAAAAAAATTCATTGGAACAAATCAAAATGTAACAAGATAACGGGTCCAAATTTATTCTCAATGTTGGCCTGTGAGGTGGGTCTCGTCAAGTTAGGACGGCTCAATTTGAAAATTGAATGGTAACTTGACTGTATTAGTCTATATACCGTTTACTGTAGTAGTGTAACTACTGTAATAAACAACGTGAAAGATTAATCCTAGCATGGTGTAAAAAAACGTATCAAACGTTCAAAAAATAAAATTGATTTACCAACCTGTAGCACTGATCTAGTGCCATTGGCCATGTTTTCAATTATTTTATCAGCATTCTTATCAATCCATGTTCGGTAATTTTTTTGGTCCTCATTTCAGCGTGTCACGGTTCTTGAAAAGCCGCCATTTGTACACAAACCACTGACCAAAACAAGGAATGACTTTTAGTTGGCCGGAACATACGATGGAACATTCTTATTATTTTTTGGATATGTCTAACTTAGAACGAAGATTTCATAATATTAACACTGTTTTTCTATGTTTTATTTGATGAATATGAACAAAAGCATTTTTTAAATTCTTAAAACTGACTCTTATATTATCTGCGCAAGCGCATTTTTCCACAACAACAACACTTCCGGGAGTAACAAAGAGGAGGACGTGAGTTTGTGCAAGAAGTTTGTCGATTTACATTTTTCGAAGGTGTGAAGACTTTCCATACAGTTGAAGTAAGTTTGTTTCTACTTTCCACTGTCAATAACATATGTAATTTATGTTAAAGAGTTCATAATTTATGTCACGCCCCCACTCCCAGTGTCTAGACTGACAACATTAAATTTGACTTTTTTATCAATTAGTATTCTGTTTTTAATATAATATTGATGATAACGAACTGAAAACATCACATGTGATCATGCATCATTTCTTTGTGATCATATTTTGTTCATTTGTACCCGAACTGCCTTAAAATATTAATTAAAATGACATTGACTACCGTATCTTGAGTCATATCTGTGTAGGTACATCTGTAATGCCTTTATGTACATCTAATGTGTAGAACTTAGGGGCAATACATTTTTTTGTTAATGTTTGTTTGACAAAATACAAGGTTAATTTTGTTTCAAGCGATATCATGCTGTATGTATTCACTGTTGTGCAAGTTAAACAAGATTTAGATAGCTGCTCTAGTCGAAGGGAAGACATAGGGTGCTTTCCCAGAGATTTAGATCAATCTAAAGATTAAGTTTTAGATCGACCTAACTCCCTGGGGGTTCACGCTAAATTGCAGTCAGCCGAGTGGGCACCATAGTTAATTACCCCCTTACAGCTTTTAGTAGGCGGGACAGACGCTTAAGCCGGCCAAGCTGACAGTAATCTAGTGAGACTCCCCACAGGGATAGATCAATCTAAAAATCTATGAAAAAGGGGTGATACTGTACTAGTATTCACTTACCTCTTTCTGCTCACATTTGGTATTGTAAACCATTATCACCAATGTTGCCTTACTTAGTCTAATGTATAAGTAATAAATGAATTTCAAATTGATCAAAAGATGAAACGTGAACTTAGTCATATTTTAGCCAAGTTTTGTCCATTATTATTATTATTATACTGTTTTCAAACATGCGTAATTCTGTATCAAAATTAAATAAGTTGTGACTGTTAGGCTTTGTATTCTTGCTTAGGGTCATAGTGTAAAAATACAATTTTTTTGGGGGGGGAGGGGGATGATTTGTTTGTTTAGAAAGGTTATTTAAAATATATATTCCCTTTTAAGTGCCATTCCTCTATGTACCCTTCTTGTAAGATAGTGTCATGCTCAAAGTTTTAATTCCTGCAAATTTTTTTTTTTTTTGAGGGGGAGGGGGGGAATACTTAGTGTTAATTTGATAATTGATGATCTGAACCTGATGCTGAAGGTATGATGCAATGAAAGAGGACACCATTGTCTGTTATGTAGTCATTTCTTAGGTGTAATGTATTGGAAAGTGGTGTATCGATTGTCTGCTTGCACTGTTGCCTATGTAACCTTTTAAGCATCGGCTGAACCTTCATATAGTAATAGATATGGCATTAAAGGAAATTTAAGCCTGCTATGTAATGAATGTTTCAGATGTTGTTGCTGATAATATCAGGCTGAATTGTCATAAATGCCCCATTCTGTGGTTGCAGAAAGGGATAAAATAAACGGATGGTTTAATATGATCTAGCAGTTCACTTTGACATACATGCTGAATTGTCTGTGGTTGCTGTGATTTTTTGCAATATGTTTATAGTTCTCCTGAAACCATAGAAGCAATTATTTGATTCAAATGAAAACAGATAAAGATATGGTGATAGAATGGGTTTGAGCATAAAGTTGCATCTGACTGTAGGAGTCAGTTGAATTCTAAATGTGGGGTTTGAAATATTTATTAAGCAAAATATAAATCTCTATGTTTTTACAACTAGAAGCATTAATGTCCTTTTTTTGTTTTGATTGCCTCAAGTCACTTTTCACTATTCCAGTTAATACCAATTACTGTATACTGTATATTACTTGAGATATACCTATTTCTATTTTAGGCACATATTTAATCCCCTGTCCAGTGGAAGGAGTCCCCAGGGTGGAAGCAAGATGGAGGAGGATATGGAAGTAAGCTGTGCTCAGGCAGACCAGCTGAGAACTCCTGCGCCATACAGACATCCTCATCACACACAGAAGGCTTTTGATGTCCTGAATATGATGAGAAAGTTAGTACACACCCCAGGGGTTGGTTTGGCATCATAAGTTGAAATCAAAAATGGGCCTTAGCTTTTAGAACAAAATAAATGGATCTACAATGGCAAAAAATTACTTGTTAGACATAATAGCCATTTATTTCTTGTTATGAAACAATTCATGATTTCATATAATTAAACTACTTTTGATTTATTTTGGGTCAAGCAGATTTTTTGTTTTAAAGATAGAACAAATTTTGGTCTTAAGTATTTTGTAAGTCTTCAGTATTTGGGCTCAGACTTCTAAACTCAGAAAGTCTGCTTTGTAGTATTGGTCAGAGAGTGATAACTTATGATAAAAGATTGCACAATCACAGTTTGCTTTTAAAGCTCAGTTAAAAAGATCAAAATTTGAGCAAAATGGCATTTCTGATTCTTTGTGAATTCCCAGTTGTAAAATGGGAAACCACCACTTTTTTCTTTTGATTGTATTGCGTGCCTTTTTTTTTCAAAAATATTCAGTTTCCACTAAATATATAGATCTAGGAATTTGAAAATTTGTGAAACCCAGTTGATTTGCTCTCTTTGAATTAAATTTATTTAGTTTGGTTAANAAATGCAACTTAAATTCCCAGTTGTAAAATGGGAAACCACCACTTTTTTCTTTTGATTGTATTGCGTGCCTTTTTTTTTTCAAAAATATTCAGTTTCCACTAAATATATAGATCTAGGAATTTGAAAATTTGTGAAACCCAGTTGATTTGCTCTCTTTGAATTAAATTTATTTAGTTTGGTTAATTACCATGTATCTCAATATCTTCAAGTAAGGCACATTGTTTTTAGTGAATGCTTTGACTGCTTTTAAAAAAATTAAGGAAATAACAACTTAATCATGACTATCCTTGCTGCACAATATGTAGTGACTAGTCCCAAACTGAGATCACAGGGGTAAGAATTGGATTTCAGGAGATCAATACTTATCACTCAGGGGAAGTGCATATACAAGGCACATTTGAGTAATGTATTGAATTTGCATTGACTGGCCTTGGGAGAGGAAAGAACTTCAATCTCTACTCTGCATTGATCTGCAGGAATCACCAGAGGTTTTCTCTGCTAAGACCATGCATTATTCTACCAGATAGAACTTTTCATTGCACGTGTCACTCAGACTAGTAGGCATTACAAAAACTGCTAGCTTAAATGAGAATTAACTAAATATTTCAAAGATGGAGTTATAATTAATGGAAAGATGAGCTAGAACAAATGCTGAAATTTCCACATGTCCAATCTGACTTGTATCTCTGAAAAATTCAATTTTTTACCAGTCTCATGTCAATTAAAGGTGTTGGTCGCCTTAGACTGGCTACTTACATTGCAGTTTGTTATACATTCTTTAAAAAATTATATATGTACATTATTTTGCACATTTTATATTTTATTCATGTTGCTCAATCTTAATATTTGCTATTGACGCATGGTTTCAAAAGCAGAAAAGTTAGCCCCTGTAGTTATTGCATTTGCTAGTGTACTCACAAAAATATTTTATGGTATTTATTCAGTAATTTGGTCTTCAACAGTGGAGAATTTCTGAGAATTTTGGTTTTAACACTAAATATAAATTATTCACAATTTTTTAAGGTCATTTGAGTCCTTTACTTCAGGCTGTATTAGTAATTTCATACATAAAACACGATTCTCTGATTATTTCTTTTTGAGTATGATTTTTTTGTCACTTTTCCCAATCCATAGAAAACATTCAGAAACTACATTTTCTTTTATGACTTCTCTAGACAGGCCCTCCTGTGCGATGTCCTTATCATAGTGGACGGCAAAGAAATCCCTGCCCACAAGTCTGTGCTGTCCTCTTGCAGTCCATATTTCTATGCTATGTTCACCAATGACCTGTCAGAGGCCAGGTCCAATAGAGTGATGCTGCAGGACGTGGATGGGAAGGCACTCACACAGTTGATTGACTTTATTTACACCTCAGAGATTGGAGTAACAGAGGAGAATGTACAGGTAGGATATTGACAGGTGTTGACTTTATTTACCCCTCAGAGATTGGAGTGACAAGGGAGATAGGTAGGATATTGACTACGTAGTGTTAACTTTATTTGCACCCAAGAGATTGAGAGCAGAATGTACGGGTAGGACTTTGACAAGTGCTAAAGGCTCTGGATTAAAGATTTTTTTCCATGGATAATGAACACTTGGATGTTCTGTTGAGTGGATATTGGATGCATTGATGCTAGACATTTATTGAGCTGGGTCCAGATGGCAAGTCCATGTAGATAAAAGTGGATGTTATATGCTTGTTATAATTTGTTTATCTCATGTCTGAAAACCATGTGTAAAGTGATACACTTAAACAGATTGCTTACTTTAGGATTATGTTTAATGATATATTTTGATTATTGATTTTTCATTTACATTCAACAGTTTTACCATTTACCCTTCATTATCCTTCAAACAGGGGTTAAATTATTCAGAAATTTACACTTTAATACTTCAGATCTTGTTGTCGGCAGCCAATCTTCTTCAGCTTGTGGAGGTTAGAAATGCATGTTGCGAGTTCCTTCAGTCACAGCTCCATCCATCCAACTGCCTTGGGATCAAGGATTTTGCGGACCTCCACGCCTGTACAGAACTTATGAATTATGCTCAGGCTTATACAGAACAACACTTTAGGTAAATAACCAGGTTGAATTCTGTCAAGTCTAGTTCAGCATGCAGTTAGTAGAGCATGTGCTCACTGTGAGGTAGGATGATGTAATATTATATGTCCATATGTCCAAGTGGAACTATATAGTAATCTTAAAGTGGAAAATATACACTAAAGTTTCTACTGCAACTGCAGTCTTGTACACACTAATGTCTTGATGGTGATTGTCATATCACTAAATGGATACTGTTAGGAGAAAGGTCAGTGGACTTGCCTGTCCCCACCACCCACATCCACCCAGTAGCAGGAATCCAGTAATGTGTTAGATTCTTTTGAAACAATGTAATTTAATCTGAAGGGAAGGCTGTTAAGTTTTCATGATTTCAGTGTATTTTGTTAAATTTCAGTGAGGTTGTAAAACATGATGAATTTCTCAACCTTTCTTCATCACAAGTAACAGAACTAATATCTAGTGATAGACTCAGTGTGCAATCAGAAGAAAATGTGAGTATAATCATCTGTCTGAAGCTCAGAAAAATATTCTGCTCGCTTATTCCAATATTTTTATTTGGTATATTTAGGAAAATATAACTTGATAAATGGTTTATAATATTGATGTATATATATACTCTATGTTTCAATTTTTCAATTACTTTTTTAGTTGGTGGTGTTGAATATATTAGTCAAGAACTATTTTCACCCATGATGCCATTTGATCTAATGCATTGTCATAACTAATATGATGTCACAACCAATACACTAACTTATGACACACTGTCACATGTTACATATATATCACATTTTGTTCTAGGTGTTTGAATCAGTGATAGGATGGATTGGCCGGGACCCCGCCAATAGACAACAATACATATCTCAGTTAATGGAACATGTCCGACTTCCATTGCTATCTCAAGAATATCTAGTAGAGACAGTTGGAGAAGAAAACCTTATTAAGACTAATATATTTTGTAAAGACTTGCTTATTGAGGCTATGAAATTTCATCTGACCAAAGGAGACCAGAAAGCAGTGTATAAAACCCCAAGGACAAAACCCAGGACGCCAATAGGTTTGCCAAAGGTATGGGGTCTCTGCATAGTCAAATTTTTTGTAAAACGATAATATATTAAGTCCAAAGCAAAGGGACAGGCTAATGACTTATGCCCATCAATTTATTTTTTTCTCTGTGTTATAATGAAATTCACCCAGTATTGTGCTGCAATGTCTTTGCATTTGGAACAATAAAAAAAAAAAACTGTACTAAAAAGTATCAGCCAATAAATTGTCAGGTGGGTGCAGTCCTTCCTATCCAACCGCTCCCAGAGAGTAAAATATAAAAGCTCACTCTCTGAATGGCTTCACCCACATGGTGGAGTACCCCAGGGTACCCTTCTTGGGCCACTGCTTTTTGCCATCATGATTGATGACTTAAAATCCAGATGTCCAGACTACAAATATGTTGACGATACTACAGTGTATGACATTTGTAATATTGATGGTCCATGCCACTTACAAAGTGCAAGTAACGAAATAGTGCTGTGGACACAAAATAACAATATGAAACTGAATGCCAAAAAAACCAAGACCATGACCCTAAATTTTACACGTTCTAAACCAGACCTCCCACCAATAGTTATAAATGACACACCAATCTGTGAGGTTACACAGTTCAAACTTCTGGGCATCCATATTAGCAATGACCTAAAATGGGGTACTCATGTGGATCATATATATAAAAAGGCATGTGCAAGACTCTATTTCCTCCGTCAACTGAAGCGAGCTAAGCTCAGCCCTGCTGACTTAATCCAAGTTTACCAAAGTATTGTGCGCTCAATTCTAGAATATGCCTGTCCTGTATGGCATCCAGGACTAACTATAGAGCAATGCAAACTTTTAGAGACTGTCCAAAGTCGTGCTTTAAAAATCATTTTCCCTGACCTACACTATGATGAAGCCCTGAACCTAGCAAATATGTGCACTTTAGAAAAACGAAGGGAAGATCTGTGCAAAACTTTCTTTTACAAAATAACTGAATCCTCTGACAAATTGAATCACGTCTTAATTGAGCATTCCAATCGTCTTTTAAGATCTAACAATAGATACAAAGTGCCAAAATTTAAGACCGACAGATTCCGATGCTCTTTTATTCCATATGCACTTTTAAATTTCCAATAGTCTTATGCTGTCTTTTATCTTAAGTACAATAATTTTAAAGTTCAGTTAGCAGTCTAAGTACAATAATTTTAAAGTTCAGTTAGCAGTCTTTTAACTCAGTTTTATTCATGCAAACTTTCATTTTATTATCATTATAATTTTTTTTAAACATTCTATGTACAACTTCAACCCACTGGGTTGCAATCTTAATAAATTATTATTATTATATTATTATTATAATTCTTACTGACCTAATGGTTCACCTAGTATGTTTATCTTTATGTCTTCATATATCACTATGTATTCAGGTTCTACTGGTGATGGGTGGGCAAGCACCCAAAGCCATCAGAAGTGTGGAGGTGTATGATTTCAAGGAGGAGAAGTGGATGACAGCAGCAGAGATGCCATCACGGAGGTGTAGATGTGGTAAGGGAGTACACAGACTCTGGGTCAATAAGCCTTAGCCAATGATTTCGTGTTATGGGAAATTATTTGTTGAAAGTCCATTTTATATGTATTTTTGATGTTTCTTTGCTATATCTCCAATATTTTCTTTTAAACAGTACTGTCTTTAAGATGTATGCAGTTATTTATATATTTTTTCCATATTTTATTCCAGGCACCGCTGTCTTGAACACCTTAGTCTATGCTATAGGAGGTTTCAATGGGTCATTACGTGTACGGACAGTGGATGTTTATGACCCGGCCAAAGACGCGTGGACCACGGTGGCCAGTATGGAGGCCCGTAGGAGCACCCTGGGGGCAGCCGTGTTAGGAGGGCTCATCTACGCGGTAGGGGGCTTTGATGGCACCACTGGGCTCAATTCAGCAGAGTATTATGACCCACGGACCAATGAATGGAGAATGATATCACCTATGAGCACAAGGAGGAGCAGTGTTGGTGTGGGAGTGGTGGGACGTAAGTATTGGAGATAGGCAAGTGAATCATAATGATAACAAGTGGTAATGATTATTATAATGATTTATTTTTGATACATAAAAATTCAGGGTAAAAACCATGGGTTTGAATTAAAAGATGATATTAACATTAAAATACAATATTACATTTTACTATTATAAAAGCTAGGGTTATGGAATGTAAAAATTGGATGTAAATGAATATGTGTTATGGGAGAAAGTACTTTTAAAATGAGTTGCCAATAACTAGCATTAGAAAGGAACATATCTATCTTAGTTTGCATGACTAGAAGTAGATTTATTTGAATTAGCTTCATCATTTCTGTCTGTTTAACTTCAGATCACCTGTATGCAGTAGGAGGATATGATGGGGCATCACGGCACTGTCTAAGTTCTGTAGAGTGTTATAGTCCTGAGGCTGATATTTGGGCTGGTATAGCCGACATGTCATGTAGGCGCAGTGGGGCAGGTTAGTACTTGCAACTATGTGTGAAACTAATATTTGTGCAGATGTAGAGAATGTTTCTTTTAATAAACATGTATTTTTAAATGAAAGTGCTTGCATGCACTCACTGATATGTAGGTCTATAATGTATAAGTCAGTAAAGGATGACATCACAGAAACCATGATCACTGTATTGTGTACCTTCCAGGTGTGGGGGTATTGGAGGGGTTGCTGTACGCAGTGGGAGGTCATGATGGCCCTCTTGTCAGGAAGAGTGTGGAGGCATATAACCCAGAGATCAACACATGGTCGCAGGTGGCCAACATGCACCTGGCTAGGAGGAATGCAGGTGAGTGTGACCCAGGTATTATATCACGTGATGAAGCATGTTGACAAGTGAAATTTGCTAAATCTGATTATCATGTACACAAACACTCTCTCTCACACACTCATAAACAAAACGTCACTGTGTCCAACACAAACTGATTACACTGTTTTCTCTCTCTTTCTCCCCAGGTGTGGTGGCACATGGTGGTTTCCTGTGGGTCATAGGTGGTGATGATGGTATCTCTAATCTGGGCTCAGTGGAATTCTATAATCCTAAAACAGATACATGGACACTGTTGCCCAGCAACTTACAGACTGGAAGGAGCTATGCCTCCGTAGCAGTGGTGGATAAACCACTGTGATCAGCAGCATGTTTGTGTGTGATCACATTGTCAAGATGGAGCCAGTCTCACAAGACAACTCGAGCCAAAAGTTGCTGTTATTGTTATGGTGAAATTTGCTCTACAGTAACTTCAGGATAAATTTGAAGAAGTTCACCAAAAGTAACTGTTTGTCAGTAAGCTAAGACATTATTATTATTATTATTATTATTATTATTGATGTTGTTTTAGCTTTGGTTTAATTTTCTAGTTTTTAAGTAAAAACCAACTTTTGGCTGGTGTTTTGTAAACTGGTCTTCAGACAGTATTTCATCATACAATATGCTTTGGCAATGGGGAACAACTATCTCAAAATATCATGTAAAACAATGGCATTGGCAGTGAAAAATCATTACCAATGGCATTCTGTGCTGCATTCTTTCTGTCATTGGAACCAGTCACCATGTAAGGATTTCTGTTGTTAAACGTTTTCAAATTCTGTGCTGCAGGGAAATCAGCAAGGAGGAACATCTTATAATGAAGTGTGCCATGCTGTAATTGTGTCAATACCAAACCAATAGCTTTGTTAACCAAAGGGGTGTCGGGGGACAGCAAATTTATGAACACAGCTGTTGTTGGACTGCAATTTTTTCAATTCAGTGCTGCCTCTGGTTTCTTCACATGTGATTAGCAAACAATATGCTTTGTTTCAGTGTATCAATCTCAGCTAAAATACCATGGGCAAATTTTCATGACAGCATTGTCAGACTATGTCTCACAGGTTATGGGTAAAATGTATATTTCAGCCCATCAAAGGGTATGTGTAAATGCATTGGCATTCCCTGCAGCAGAGAAATCATTGATGACACAGAGCATTCATGACATGCTATGTTCATCACATCTTTAGGGCATACAATTCTGTGAAAATGTCAGTTGGGGAAATACTATACAACGATATTTGAAAGAGGATTACATTATTTTCTTTGAAAATTTGGACAAAGCTACGAGACAGCACCATATGTGACACAGGGGTGGTACAGCATATAAAATGACCTTGTATTCACTTTTCATGAAATTGACATTTTCATACATTATAAAAACAATCATGACATAACATGAGGTGTTACACAGTTCCTTTTTGATTTTTTCATTTCTTTGATCATTTTTGATTAATATTTTGGTGTTTGATATAAGAAACTTTTTTCATAAAAATTATTTTCCAAATATGTGGTTTCTTGTGATTGAGGGCAGTTGTATCTGTGTTATGGGATTTTATATTGTTATTACATGGTTTTGGATTTTTTCTATAAATTTCTTATAATTTCTATAAATTGTGTCTAGTACTTTGTTAGCAAATCATTGCCAATTTATTCTAGTAGACTGTCCCTGAAAGACATAAACGACAAATCAGAATTGATACGTATGGTGCTATTTTCCTAAAGGTTTTGCGCATGGGATAATGTTGGCTTTTAAAATGTTTCTTACAGAGGATCTGACTTATCACTGTGTGGGGCCTTTAAACTACATGAACTTTGGGCATTTTATTAATTATTATAATATTTATTAATTATTATTATTTTATTTATTTATATTTTGTCAATGTATATCATGATGGTCATTATGTTTAAATTAAAATTGTAGCAGAGTAACAACCTCAATATCTGGTTGACAACCACTGAAGGGATTGAAATGGGCAGAAAACACCAACACTGTAATCTTTTTTAGGTTCCAGAAAGTGACATTCTACCTTGCTCCAGAAAGAGACATTCTACCTTGAAATAATTACATTTGTGTACCCATTCTGTGATATAATTGGATATTCATGGGATGTATAGAGACAAGGAGTATATCACTGTTGACCCATTTTTGGCAAATTGATGAAAAAAGTGATTTGAAAACTTACGATTTGTTTCTTGGGTTAAAACGCAATACTGATAATTCGTGTGAATGTCACTTTTTTTTTCAAATTGTATAGTTTTGTGCCAAAATCCCATATATGACTATAACTTTTAAAGTTGAATCACCAGTGATTATGCATTAAAGATACTGTCATTGATGGATCTGAAGTAAGATAAAGATCATATGCTAATGTGAACCAAGTTTTGCCCTGATCAGTATTTTCATTTCCAGGTGTGTAGGTATTTGTGTACTATGTGTGTTATTTTGCTATATGTAATAAATTTTTTAAAAATCTCTGAAAATTTTTTATCTAAGCCTGGAAAGTATCTGTGCTTAGGGAAAGCTAAGGCCGCGTTCACATCGAGTTGAGCCATGGGTCTTCAAAGCCACGACCTAAATATGGCGGACGTACATGAAAGGAAAAACTCCTAATCTTTTAATAGTCTCCCCGCCTCCCCATGCGTCGTCCCTGCGGGGGTACAGTCATTAAATCTCGGCTCCATTGGGACGACACATGGGGAGGCGTGTGAGAGGCGGAGAGACAATTAAAAGATTAGGCAGCTTCCTTTCATGTACATCCGCCATATTTAAGTCGTGGCTTTGTAGAGCCATGGCTCAACTCAATGTGAATGCGGCCTAACAAGAGGAACTAATCTGACTTACAGTATAATATTAATGGCAAGCCTAAACAGGATTTTCTTAAATCCCTGTAACATCATCAGTTGAGAAGTCACAAATGAGAACAATCTAAAGCAAGAAAACAATTACAAAATCATCTCACAAATCAGCATAACATACATTAAAGATCGGATTATTAGAAACACGCAATTTATTCTTTAACGCATGCAATTTAAGTTTGTGTCCAATTATTTGAAGTTTAGAAGGATGTGCGCTTTAATAAATGAAGGAGTAAGATTGTGAACCACAAACCAGTCATCAACACTTTCAGTACTTTAAAAACTGATATTTATTACAGCATGATGAGTAATCATCCAAATACAATTCACACTTGGAACGTGTTGTCTTGGATGTACATTTATGGTATTATCTAAAGATGTGATGTTTTAAAAAGTTTCGTCTATCCTAAACTATCCATAACCAATAAATAAGTAATAATTAACATGAAGCCTGGTTTGTAATAGTCTAGAATAAAACATCAGAAAGCATTGTCCTTTGACTCCGTGCATACTTCTGTGACGTCCAACAACACCTCTACCCCTTCATAAAAAACGGTCTACCATGATGGAATGCTACTGTGCACAATGCACTGCAACTTGGATGTGACTGGAAATGAGATAACTCCCTCAGCTATTGGAAACGTTCCCACTGCTGAGCTCGTTGGGGGACTGAGTCAGTTATTTTCATCAGTCTGGGCCATGTAGGCATCCAATTCAGCATCCAGGTGAGCCTTGGTTTTAGACATGTAAGCATCCAACTGGTTATCTAATGTCTCTTTAGAAACTTGACCTCCGCCTCCACGGCCTCTGCCCCCTCCTCCGCGACCTCGCCCACCTCCACGTCCTCTAGTGCCTCTTCTTCCACGGAAACCACCTCTACCACGGTACCTATAACAAACCATTCACTTAAAGCCTGTTGTCTGGAAATGTGTAATTTAATCATTTAGAATTTTATTACACACAACAGCCCTGAAAGCAAATGACCCACAGTCTGGTTACTACTCTTTATTAGATACCTACATTTTACTGCATAGTTCTAGACAACTGAAATGTAAAATTTCAAAATTACAGACATGAATTATATAAAGTTTCTTAACTTTTAACACCATCTGTAATTTAAGAATCACCCATCAAAAATGCGTTTTCTAATTCTTCCATGCCAAATAGACTGAAAAAATTGTTTGAAGCTACTGCATACAAATAAAGGGGAAAAATCGATCACAAAACACATTTTAAATATATTAATTCTAGGAATTAGAAAATAAAATTCGGGTCACTCCTTGGAGGCAGTTATGAATCCTAAGCAGAGTTTAAACATACTACAAAAGAAAAACAAGAGGCATATCATGGTTACTTTTGAATTTGGATTCTTTAATGCCAAAATCTAAACAGAACAAGCTGCAACATTTGAAGAAAGTGATAGCTTAAATCAACGAAGTACTTCCATGCATATTCTTGTTTATTCATCTCAAACAAGTTTATTCTGCAACACGTCTTTCATTACATATTTCACATACGTTGAAACTGAATCAAAATCAAAGGTTAGTTGGCATCAATGCTTCTAAATTAGCAAACACTGAATATCATCATCTAATCATTAGTAAAAACAATATTCAGATTGTTATCAACAAAACACTGGATAGGGTTCCTGAAAAAAAAAA